AAATCTTCCCAGTTGGTAATGTTAAATGCGAAGAATTTCATCACGACGTCGATTGGAGTCTCTTTGAAGTTCTTATAGCCTTCGTCCTTCTTGTCTAACCTCAGCGTCTGTTTATTTTTAGAAAGAAAAAAATTGAATTTTCGATTCGGACAATAAATAGTACTATACATAAGGAATTGAGTCGTGGAAAAAGAATTATTTGAATCGTTTATTCGGAAAATATTAAGCATAATAAAGAAGGAATTGACTAGTTGAAAAAGAAAGATTTGAATCTTTCCTTCGGTGAAAAGGTTATTATTAGCAAAATTAAGCTTTTAAAATTTATCATGATCAAAATTGTCTTTCAAAACTTCCAGCAAAATTATTTTTATTGCGTCCATTCTCTTTTATATACGGAGTGACAGAAATTGCTGATACTGATATACTGCATCATAATAATTCAGATAAATGCTCGAGATTCATTTTGTTTATTTTGAATGTTTTTTCAATTGAACAATATGAATGCAAGAATATTTTTAACGCATTGTGGAAATCGGTCGCCTTTTTGCATTCGGTTTTCATCGATATTATGATGGTCAGCTCACATTTTCGAGTTGTCCCTTTATGATATTATCAAAGCCGTAGAATGCAAAAATCGCAGCAATAATTGTTATCACTGCTCCAACACCAGCCACAATCCCACCCTTGGCTTCCCGAGAAACCATTGCTGTTTTGTTGTTGCCTGAATTGTCTGAAATAGAAAAAAATATTCGAGTGGAGAGAAAGGCATATAAGCAGAAAGCATCATTATTCAGATTATCGAAATGATGGCTGCTGAGCATTCCGATGGAAGATAGAGTTAGTATGCAAGGGAATTGTATTTAATCTTGGTAATATTTCAAGGAGAAAAATCTGAAGTATCGTCACGGGATGTTCACAAGAATAAGAAACTCTTTCTGTTTGAAATAAGTTCAAAATCAAAATTTGTTTGAAATAAGTTCACAAAAATATTCGAGTGGAGAGAAAGGCATAAGCAGAAAGCATCATTATTCAGATTATTGAAATGATGGCTGCTGAGCATTCCGATCGAAGATGGAGTGGGTATGAAAGGGAATTGTATTTAATCTTGGAAATATTTCATGGAGGAAAATCTGAAGTATCGTCACGGACTGTTCACAAGAATAAGAAACTCTTTCTGTTTGAAAGAAGTTCAAAATCACGACATATACTGTGTACATAGGCATCACATATCCCAATAAGGTCCTCGCCGCGGAATCGAGTGATGACTTGTGCATCTCGAAAACGCACTTAAAAGAGTCGCCGTGAGTGATTGTGAAGGAAATATTCGAATTGAACAATTCAATTCTTTGCTGGGCTGCTTATCATTCAGACGCCGAATGCGTGCTGATGAGGTGATGGTGCGAGGCTGTAGATAAGTCTTATCATCAAAACATTCGTTTATGGTCGTCAATGTCGAGCTGTTTTTAGAATATGCCCGAAACTTGCGAACATCATGAGGCGTAAAAGAAAGGGAAATCGACTACATATAGTGAGGATGAATTACTCATGTTAGAAACCACACCAAAATAGCATTGAACTTCCAGCTGGCGTTATTTTAAGAATACAGTGCTACTATCTTTTTTTGCAGGCGAAAGCTCTCTAAATATAATTCGAATTTCGTTCAGGGGACCAGCAAAAAGTTTTGAGTTGCGGAGGTTATAAGTCAGGGCACAAAATGCTTTGGTTGGGGGAGAGATGGAAAAGTTGCAAGAAATCTTGAATGGTAATACTTTTGGCCTCAAATGGCTTCTTAATATATATATATATGGCTTCTTAAATGAGTTGACAGGATATGCTGAACTTGGAAACAAGGGTTTTCTTGCCCAATATATATTCCTGGAGGAATATTGAGTTTCGATTTTGTGTCCCCAGGTTTGTGTTTGTGTGCTTTCTTTTTCTTGCTTTCTACTTTTGCAGCAGGTTTTTTGCCAAGGAGAACAGGAAGGGATACTGCTGAGGGGACAATGCAGAGACTTCCTGAGCAATTTTCCTTTGGTAGCAAAAATTTTCCAAACCTGAGAGGCTGAGGGAAAATGCGGCGCTTGCGTGTGGCAAAATTCTTGTTCCTGTTCTTGATTTTTTTT